ACATTTTTTCAGATTTTGTTCTATTGTACTTTATTAGTGTATTTGATTCTTTTTGTTAGTTTTTATTGCTTTTTTAAAAAAAATATGATTTTACATTCTGTAAGCCACCTCGAGTCACCTTGGGTGAATATGTGGCAATATAAATTCAATAAATAAATAAATATTACACTAAACCACACAGTTGATTGGGTGCCTCTAAGCTCTAAGTGAAACACATCACATTACAGCACAGCACACTGAATGAACCAGGCCACTCAAAACAACAGTACCTAAGTTATTGCACAGGTTTCAACATGGCCTTTGGACATGAATAACTTCATCTAGATAGAAGTTGGAACACTACATTTATGCATACGCAAGCAGATGCTGGATGAAAAAAATTATCCTCCTCAACTAGCTGATTTTTATCTATCATTGTGTAATTTATCTAGCACTACCAATCTAAGCCACAGCAATCCCAACACAGTAATTGCTAAATAATGGCAAAGGCCTGGGGTTTTCTATATCTCTTTCCTTCCACCTAATGGTCATGTGTTTTTTTTGCAACCTGTATCTGGTAGTCTTAATTTATTGCAGTTGTTAGCAAACCTCTTTGAAGAGAAAGCTCAGAGCAGATTAGAAAAATCCAAGTGTCTCTCAACTCTAGTTATGGTTCTGTGCCATTACTTTATTGATTTATTTTTTATTTATTTGTCAATTGCTTACAAGATAATAGATATAAGTAAAACATAGTTATGAATACATGGATACATATAAGAAAAAAAAAGAAACAATAGGACAGGGATGGTAGGCACATTGGTGTACTTATGCACGCCCCCTACAGATCTCTTAGGAAAGGGGTGAGGTCAATAGTAGACAGTCTAAGGTTAAAGTTTTTGGGATTTGGGAAAGAAACCACAGAGTCAGGTAGAGTATTCCAGACATTGACCACTCTGTTGCTGAAGTCGTATTTCCTGCAATCAAGTTTGGTGCAGTTAACCTTGAGTTTGTATCTATTGTGTGCTCTTATGTTGTTATGGTTGAAGCTGAAGTATTCATTGACAGGTAAGTCATTGCAATGTATGATTTTATATACCATACTTAGATCAGACCAAAGATAGCGTAATTCAAGGTTTTCTAGGTCTAGAATTTCAAGTCTGGTGGCATAAGATATTCTACAACGAGTAGAGGAGTGGAGAACTCTTCTTGTGAAATATTTCTGGACTTTCTCAACTGTGTTAATATCAGATACGTAATGTGGGTTCCAGACTGATGAGCTGTATTCGATTTGTGGTCTAGGAAATGTTTTGTTATTAGTGTAATATTACCAATGAAAAAGCTACGTTTCAGAATGATTCAGGACAGTTGTTTTGTTTTTTTCAATTTTAAGATGTATGGACTGGGGAATTCTTAGAGTTGAAATCTACACATCTTAAAGTGGATAAGACTGACAAACACTGAATTAAGAGAATAGATGGTACCATTTCAGATTCCATACTGAATCTTTCTCATAATTAAAAATGTTTGGTTCCATTTTCTGATAACAATTCCTCCCCCCCTTTCTCCCCGCTCTCTCACACACACACAACAAGCAATACAGGTTTAACAATTAAAATGATACACCATCAAATAAATTTTATAGAATGTGGATTTAGCAGTATAGTTGATTGCTTTCTCATGAACTTTGTGCAACTTTACTCCAAAACTTCTAAAAACAGGAATAGATCAACCCACAAGCCATGCGCTGCCCAGCACTTCCTTTTGGGTTCCCAAAGCAGTGCAAGATGTCATGTCTGAAATTCAGTGTCAAGAGGGCTAAATTTTCACAGTTGCATATTTAAACATTGCAAATCTTTTGTACATAACCTCTCCCCCCAATTCCTCTCTTTAACCCAGTTACCAAAAATCCCTGAAAAGTTTGAGGAGAAAAAAACAACTGGGTCCAAATTTTCAAACTTTTCCTTTCTGTTGACCAGAAGACCTTATGTCATCTGTTGGGTATTTGGGAAATTTCATCACCTTAAAAATTGTGTCTCCCTCTTTTAAAAGAAACCAGTTTTGGGAGTTATTCAATATAGACTTTTGGTTTTTAGGTAAAAGAAGTAGGTTAGTTGTTAGTTATAGTAGTACAGGAAACAGAGAAATATCAGGCAGGATAGATGCTGAAGACTTCACAGAGAACATCAAAGCTTCACTCAAAACTCCTGTATTTAGTTTTCAGAAATCAATCACATTTGATTTCTATTTCCCCTAATTCAGTAAGAACCATCAACCTTCTTTTTAACAAGAACACTCGGGTTTCAAAGACACGTTTTATAGGCTTGTGCTATTGACTTACCAGGAGCTCTTGGATCGTGCACCACATCATTATCCAATTCGTCCCCTTCAAAATGCAGCTCCCTCGAGTCCAGACTTTCAATTATGTTACTCATGTCGGCAGCGATTTTCCTCAGTGCTGAAGTGCTCACTTGCTTTCCATTGGTGAGAGACATCTTAAAGGTTTACTCTTGTGCACAAGGGGCTGTTTGAGAGAAGGAGCAAGGAAAATGCATTACTGTGGTGGTTGGAATTGGAGTTGGTTGATGCACCAAAGGTTTACCTGCATGACCGCTTGGCCAAGAAATTAAACTGTTTTTCTTTCTATGTTGCATGATAAAAAGAGCTCATATGGGATGGAGTAACTGAAGAGTCAATGTTTGTCTAAAGAGCGGATGAACAGCCAAGTTACTGTTGCCACTGTTGTATCAAAATAATTATTCTATGCCTTCAGGTAAGCCAGGGGTGTCAAACTCAAGGCCCAGAGGATGGATCTGACCCAAGGGGTGCTTAGATCTGGCCCACGGGGCCACCCTGGAAACAGCAAAGGGCTAGCCTGCGGTGTTTCTGCCAGTGAAAACGGAGCTTGGGGAGCCCTGCAATCTGTTTTCGCTGGCAGAGGCCGTTGCAACTGAAAACAAAGTTCAAGAGCCCATTTTCTCTGGTAGAGTGCTCGGGCCACCACACGTGCCCCTGACATGAGTTAAATCGAACTGGCCTCCTGGCCACACCTCCATAGCCCCCCCGAAGTCAAACACAACCCTGATGTGGCCCTCAATGAAATCGAGTTTGACAGCCCTGAGGTAAGCAACGTATGAGAGATAGATACCTCAGCTCAGCCAGATGTCCTTCCTGACGAGTTTGCAGCAAATATTTTTTTCTTTGTGCCCCAGTACATTTGTCGCTACCTAGGATTGAATTCTCAATCTTTCAATATGGGAGGTGAGTGTCAACTCGTAAAGCATTCCTGTCCTGATCTCAAGTTGCCATAGGCAGGAGGCTTCTAACAAATAATTGGATTTCTTTTGAAACTTGGCTCAAGGCTCATGAATTAATTAGGCCATCCATCAGAACCCTGACAGTGAGCATCCTCACCACTAGACCACTACGCTGCTCATATGAGAGATAGATACAAGACTAGTAAAATAATTATTTTCCTTCTTGAGAAAGGTGATACAAATGGAACCTTAATGGAAAATCCCAGAGCATGCTTGCTAATTTTTCCCATCAAGGAAGACTGTCTCCGAGAACCCACTGCTTGGTTCTCTTTCAATATGTACATCACTGAACATGTAACAGACATCACTACGATACAAACTTAGCAAGGGCCAAACAACTTGAGCAGTCCTTGGAGCTGCATGTGATTCAATTTCATGAGGATTGCTGGGATAAATACTATTTTTATTGATTAAATATAAACAAAGTATCACACAACATGTGAACGGTCCAGAGAATTCCAAAATTAGAAACTGAAAAAAATCTGTACAAGGTGCCCTGTATACAGCATGGTGTTGCTTAAGCTATCTCCTTTGTCTAATTCTGGCCAATCAGATTTGTACATTTGACATGCCCATTGAGAAAAAGTCTCAGAACTCAAGTTCAGTATTTCATCTCTCTGATGGTGTGCAGAAACAAATGGCATGGTCCAGCATTTATCAATCTTGGCGACTTAAAGGTGGGTGGACTTCAACTCCCAGAATCCCATATCCAGTTAAGCAAAAGTTCAAGAAGGAAGGCTATGTGTAATGAGATGCCACTGATTGTACATGCTAGATTTCTGACGTTTTAACAGATAACAGATAATCAGAGTTGGAAGGGACCTTACTGGTCATCTAGTCCACCACCCCCGCCCAAGCGGGAGACCCTACACCAATTCTGACAAATGACAGTCCAATCTCTTCTTGAAAGACTCAACTGATGGCACTCCCATAACTTCCGAAGGCAAGCTGTTCCATTGGTTGATTGCTCTCACTGTCAGAAAGTATCTCCTTGTTTTCAGGTTAAATCTCCCCTTGTTCAGTTTCCATCCATTATTCCTTGTCTGACCTACAGGCACTTTAGAAAATAGCTTGACCCCTTCCTCCCTGTGGCAGCCCCTCAAATATTGGAAGGCTGCTATCATGTCTTCCTGCAACCGTTCGTTGTATGTTTTAGCCTCCAGTCCCCTAATCATCCTGGTTGCTCTTCTCTGCACTCTTTCTACAGTCTCAACATCTTTTTTATAGTGTGGTGACCAAAACTGGATGCAGTACTCTAGGTGTGGTCTTACTAAGGCTTTATAGAGTGGTATTAGTACCTCACTTTATCTCGATTTATCCCTCTGTTAATGCAACTTAGGATTGCATTAGCTTTGATCATGTACAGGTACTCCGCGACTTACGACCACAGTTGAGCCCCCAAATCTCTGTTGTTAAGTGAGACATTTGTTAAGTGAGTTTTGCCCCATTTTATGATCTTTCTTGCCACTTCAGTCGATAAGTTGGTAACTCAGTTGTTAAGTGAATCTCAAGCTTCCCTATGGAATTTGCTGGTCAGAAGGCTTGAAAAGGGATTGCATGACCTTGGGACACAGCAACGGTCACAAGTATGAACCATACTTGTGACTGTTGCTGTGTCCCAGTTGGGAGGCACCTGAATTTTGATCACATGATCATGGGAATGCTGCAAAGGTTGTAACTGTGAAAAACAGTTGTAAGTAACTTTTTTCAGTGACACCATAAACTTTGAACAGTTACTAAATGAACTGTTGTAACTCAAGGACTACCTGCACTATGTATAAATGAGAATTATTATGCACTCAGTTTAATCCTGATTGTATTTGAAATGATGAAGATGCACAAGATATAGGATTCTTTCAAGCAAGAACAGGAAAAAACTCAACAGCCACAAATACTTTTGTATTTCTCGATAAGAAAATGTTTTTTTCTTAATTTTACTTTGTTCTTGGGCTAGGTCTGACATATATGACCTGTCCATATACTGATTAATTTTTTAAATGAATTACCTCTCTGTCCCATTATCTCTTTGTTCCTGCCAAGATAATTCCAGCCATCTTAAATGTAAAAGCCTGGAATTGGCATGCATATTTAATTAAGGAAGCAATTTTCATGTTCTCTTCCTTTAAAATATTCAGCAGCAGCAAGGTTGCCGCTATACCTGAATCTTTTAAAGGGACACTGCTCCAAAACAAGACAGGATATGTGCGCACACTCTTTGCAACCAGTGCCAAGCTTAGGTGTGTTCAAAAGCGAAAAACGACCACACGACAAAAAGATCAATCAAGGCACATGCTTCAGAAAGGGTCTAATAGAAACAGAGAGTTGCAATTCCAGTTTTTCTTGTACAAAGTTAAATTTTTTTCCCCTTTTGTCTTCTGGGCCATTTCCCCTTAAGACAAAGAGATGAGTTACTGGTTTTTCTTGTTTGTGGGTGGTGTGTTTTGTTTTGTTTTGCACTGGAACAATAGTTACAATTAGCAGAATATGCCATCATCCATTTTGTTCATTGTTCAGAAGGCAGATCAGAAAAAGCAACGGGAAATCAAGCATTAAGCCCTCCTCTTCCTTTATATGACCTACATGTTACCCTGTTCAATCCACCTGTTTGCAAAGATAAATGTTGAAAAGGAACACAGAGTTGGTAGCAAGAGCCAAGGAATGACTTGATTATTCAACTTTATTACCATATAGCCACTATATCTGTATATTTAACCGGTAACCGAGTAGCCCAAATAGAAAAAGCAAGAATCATGTACAACATATGGTTAAGGACTGTAACTGTTACTATGTATGACAGATTGGCAGAAAACTATCAGAGCGCATCCGTGAATATCAACTAGCAGTCAGAAGACATGATGAAAAGTCTTTAATCTCACAACACAACACATGGACAAAACTATAGTTTCAATTAGGAAACTGTGAGCATCCCAGACCAAGCTAAATCCAAAAATTCTAGGGAATTCTTAGAAACTTGGCATTTAGACAAATCAGCCATAAGCTTATTTAGACACCGTTCAAAGCTAGTCAGGAAACAGAAAGATTAGAAAATATCCTTTCTGGAAGCCAACACCCAGATGAGCAGGTATTAATACCAAGCAAACAATCCAGCAGAGAACAATACCCCAATCAAGAAATTACCAAGGAGAAAACCACACCCCATCAATACTAGCATGATAAATTACAGTATATAACTAGGGAACAAACTCTACATTAACCAGCAGAATGATGGTAATGTTACCTAGTTGGGTAATGAAATGTCTTCAAGTAAACAACCAAGCACAGAGAGTACCAAGGACTCCACATCGTTCAATCCTGAACTACAGATATTGTCTTCTATTTAGCCACTATAGAAATTTAGATGATGAGGGTGAAGGTTCGTTCTCCAAGCTTGTGGGTTAGTTTCTGAATGTTTTCTTACCAGGATAGGTAACATCTTCAGCAAGTTTTAGGAGTTGCCTAAACTCTGCTGAAAATGTTACCTGGTCTGGTAACGAAATGTTTCAGAAACCAATTCATAAGCTCAGAGAATGAACCTTCACCCTCATCCTACACCTGAGCTACAGATATTCGCCACAATTGCAAATTTAGGTTATGTTTTGATGGCAGCAAAAGGATACAGAAGCTCTGTCTCTTTGCTGCTATCTACTGATCGTCTGGGGTTTTGCAGCTCAGATATGACAACCCGATTTATAGGAACAAAGGAAACTGCCTTACACTGCCAAGCTGTTGGTTCAGCTGCACCTGTATGTTCAATACTGACTGGCAACAAGCACTCCAGAGTTTCAAGGAAATCTTCTTTCTCAGTCCAGCCTGGGAATGTTATGAGTTACTTGCCTCCTACATTTGCAGCTATGGTGAGCAGAAAAAAATGTAGCACAAATACCAGTGCTTTCTATCACACTTTGAATGTTGAAGCAGGGATCAAACATAGAGCCTGCCTCAATTCCTTAGGCCAACCTAGTTTGAGGTTGCTGTGGGATCTTGTGAAAAGACATAGCTGGATTAAAGAGTTGCTGACAGATGCCATAATCATACACTATCCCCATACTCTAAAGCAGATTATGCCTTTGAATCCTACACACTGTGGGGCTCTATGGCCTGCAGTAATTGTGTCCATAGACACTGCATTGGGTATCCAGGATATTTTATATTTATTTATTTATGCATATCATTTCTTGGAAATGAGGGAGATTCTTTGATTGTGGTC